TTAAAGTTTGTCAATAGGTTAAGAACATTTTGTTCCTAAGGCCTCTAAACATTCGCTTTACCGGATAAAACTGTGTATTTAAATAAGTGTCAGCTATCCTGAGGGAAACTTCGGAAGGAACCAGCTATTTATTGTATTTGCACAGGGTATATTTATTTTCCGCCCTGGCTAACGGAGCACGCAGCCATAAAAAGACCGACTGTCGCGATTCATAAAAGCTAACCAGCCGGACAAGGAGCTCAAAAACGATAACAGAAGAGAGAAAACATCAGTTAAACAATTAGACAACAGTGTGAAAAACAAGGTAAACAATCAAAATGTCAATGTCCTCAATGCACTGGATTGTGCCGCAGGCCGTTGGTCATATTGGTTGGTCGTCATCGTCCACATTGTCGTCGAACCATTCTTCTGATGTCTCCACCCGATGATAATGTTTGTCCTCCGCCACACCTTAGCCCCCTGTGACGCACGCCATGCATGTTCCAAAGAGAAAATCCTAGGCACTATGCATGAACGTCGTCACCATCTTCAGACTGTCTTCCACACACCGCACCGCCATCAATCCGAGTTCGCCCGAGCGGAACCCGAGACTGCGCCAAATGTCTAACTGCCTGGTGCTGAAGCACCCCCGACTACCGATTACGAGGCCGTGAAAGTACGCACGATGACAATTGTACATTTCACAGATCTTACTGGCCAGCGGACTATACCGATTCACTTTCCTCGTGTATGCTTCTCGAAAACTATTGGAATGGTTCTCGTAGATGCACGTCACATCAAGTACCAGAGCTACTCTGTCCTTTACTGCAATGATATCCGGACGAGATATGTTCGTCTCCATACCAGGACTCGGTATACCCTGTTCGGTATAGACCTTATGACCTCCCTCTCGTAATCGCTGAGCAACCTGACGACAAATGTTGTTGTGTCGCCTGCACCGAAGGCCTTGCACCTTCGGGCAAAACTGGAGTATGTGCATGAGAGATTCCTGTTCAGCACCACACCTTCTACAGGTTTTGTTTCCGGCCTGTCCTCGTGAACACTGTACTCTTGTTGGAACGGTGTTTGTACGCAGTTGAAGTGCACGTACAAAGACATGGCCCTTCATTGTTGTTTTACCCGTTAACCAAGTGTTCGTCAACGGACTCTGGCGAAAGCATTCAGCTCCCACCCCATGAACAGAGCTTTCGAACGTTGTGCGCTTCTCGTTCAATAGTACTTGCTGTCGAGCCTTAACTTCAACGGTACTTTGCAAACTGCCTGACAACCCCATTGCATCAGCCCACCTGGCCGCCATCGACGCACTTGAGTCACATTGTACAAGGTAACTCAAGCACGCGTCCTGCGACAGGCAGATTGAACGATGTAGTCGTACTTTGGCGAACCCGACGATCTCAAATAATTTCGGAATTTGCAAGCCTCCTTCTCGACTAGGCAAGTACACGAATTCGTTGCAGACGGAAGTGGGTAAGTGGACAATGCGTTTGACGTATCCTCTAATAACTGTATCGATCTTATGTAGTAACTTCGGATAGCACTGCGAATGTATGAGTGGATATACAAACCGTGGTACCAGATGGAACCGAAGCATATACAGTTTTTGATGTGGCTTTAGAGCAGATACTTTCAACGCTTTCAGTGATGCTTTAATAGCATCCACTGTAACTTTACTGTCCACTGCACCTAATGATGTAAATTGAATCCCAAGGTATTTAACGGTGTCGGAATAGCCTAGCATCGAGATACTTTCTCCTTTCACGTCAAACATTGGCTGTGTAGCCACTTTTGGTTTTTTACCTCTGTATCCCTTAAGCAAGACTATCGACACACATTTTTTAACATTGAGTTCTAACCCTCTCGCTGCTAAAAAGTCGACTGTTGTATCCAGTAAACATTGTAGCCCGATTCTAGAGCCAGACACCAATGCCAAATCATCAGCGAATGCCATGGCATTTGCCTTTCCCACTCCCTCGAGATTATATCCAAAGCGATCGCCTAGTATCTCGAAAAGTTCATCGAGTACTAGGTTGAATAATATTGAAGAGATCGAATCGCCTTGTTTCACTCCCTTCTTCAGTTTGATCAGCAACGAACTCTTATCAGCATACGATAGGCTGGTAAATGCTCCCATATACTGATTCTCCACCAATTTAATAAATTCGTCCGGAGCTCCTTTGCGCATCAACGCTCTAATCACGGAGTCATGCGGCACAGAATCAAATGCCTTCGAGATATCCAACAAGCACACGTATAGATCGCGTTTATGTGTGCGTGCATGTCGTATGAGATGATGCAACATCGCTATGTTTTGTCCAGCTCCATTCAGTGGTTTGAAACCCCTTTGCCGAGCATCTGTTTGAAAAACTTTGGACATTCGTTTGGCCAGGATTTTGTTGAAGAGACGAATTAAGATAGAAGCAATTGTTATTGGACGCCAGTTCTTGATGTTATCTAACTGTGTCGTTCCTTTCGGTAATAACTTTGTTCAGTTCAACTTAAGGCTGGCCGGAACCCATTTCCTATAGTAAACATTAATGGTTCTAGCGATTCTTGCACAGGGTCCATAAGAATCATGTTGACCATGTTGTAGACGGCTCGATTAGTCTTTCGCCCCTTTACCAAAATTTGACGATCGATTTGCACGTCAGAATCGCTACGAACTTCCATCAGGGTTTCCCCTGACTTCATTCTATTCAGATAAAGTTCACCATCTTTCGGGTAACTTTGGACATTCGTTTGGCCAGGATTTTGTTGAAGAGACGAATTAAGATAGAAGCAATTGTTATTGGACGCCAGTTCTTGATGTTATCTAACTGTGTCGTTCCTTTCGGTAATAACTTTGTTCAGTTCAACTTAAGGCTGGCCGGAACCCATTTCCTATAGTAAACATTAATGGTTCTAGCGATTCTTGCACAGGGTCCATAAGAATCATGTTGACCATGTTGTAGACGGCTCGATTAGTCTTTCGCCCCTTTACCAAAATTTGACGATCGATTTGCACGTCAGAATCGCTACGAACTTCCATCAGGGTTTCCCCTGACTTCATTCTATTCAGATAAAGTTCACCATCTTTCGGGTAACTTTGGACATTCGTTTGGCCAGGATTTTGTTGAAGAGACGAATTAAGATAGAAGCAATTGTTATTGGACGCCAGTTCTTGATGTTATCTAACTGTGTCGTTCCTTTCGGTAATAACTTTGTTCGGTTCAACTTATGGCTGGCCTGAACCGGCCTTGCGCCTAGCCAAACATTCATTGCAGCCCATAATTCGTGCGTTTGATCTTCTTCAACTTCCATAATGGTAACTGGTCTGGTCCTTTTGCCGTTTCCTTTGGTGTATTTTTCAAGGCCCACGTAATATCTTCTAGTGTGATAGGTGCTAAAAGAATATCGGCCCCTACTTCTTTTCCACGGACAAATGCACCTTTATCCTTCGTTACCCCGGACCATACGTTTTGGAAATGTTCATAGGCAATTCCGATGGGTGGACATTCGGCTGTACTATTCACCCCATCGAAAAGCTCGGCGGCTAGATTAGATCGATCATGCTTGTAGAGATACTGATGATGTGCATACCTTTGCCTTTTACGCCGAATTCGCGGTATGAACTGTCTTGCATCAGTATTTCTCAAAGCGGCTCCCTGTTGTTGAGAGCATTGACCATTTCCTATAGTAAGCATTAATGCTTCTAGCGATTGTTGCACAGGGTCCATAAGAACCATGTCATTGTCAGCAAACTCCACCAACGCATCCAACATCCCATCGCTGATGTTAACGATGTGTTCCCCGACATCCAAGATGTTGTTCCTTACATATTGTTTAATGTCAGGACACTTAGCCTGGTCTACATC